CCCCCGACTTTTTTTTATTCTGCCTACCCCTACTTTTTGGACGTGCGCCGTGTGCGATGGTGCCATGCGCCATGCGTGCTGTATAGTTGATATGCATGGTTGGTATTCTCATGTCTCTGTTGTCTGCTTTGTTTGTACATTTTCACAAACGTCATTTTGCGGGCTAAGGCCTAAGGCCACCAGCTTGACAATCTGAGTCTCTTCTGGTTTTGGCAGGTATGCAGGGTACTCTTCCTGCTTCCGAAAGGAAGCTGGAAGTCATGGGAAGGACACACTTGGCATTTTCCGTGTCCACCAGTTTGAGAAAGTGGAGCAGTTTTGTCTAACTGGTCCCAACGGTGCGGACTCGTGGGACATGCACGAGGAGATGCTGAAGAATTCAGAAGACTTCTATCAGCTGGTAAGGAAATCGACTGCTTCAAAATTCCAATTGATTTAGAAAAAAAAAGAGAAAACGTCACCTGTAGTATGGAAGAAGACGGAAGAAAAAGGAAAAAAAAAGAAAAAAAAAAAACAATCGAGCAGAGGTAATCATCACCCTCATGGCTGCATGGTACACAGTGCTACACACATGTGTACAACTTCTTCTAAGAAAGATATATAAATAAAAAATGCAATCTCTTTTTTAGTTTATAGAATTAGCCATCAGGCGGTTTGTATAGTCGCCTGGGAGACTGTCACGTACGGTTCGAAGAGCAGAGACTTACCTCCGACGGTCCGATCCCTACCCATTTTAGGTTTTTTGCTGCAACTGAAGCTGTTGATGAAGCTGTTGATAAACAGATTATTCCAGCTACTATACAACTTTTCAACAAAAAAGGGAGCGTTGAATCTGGGGATCCTGAGAGACAGTCTGGATACAGTGTAGAGATGGTTGTCGTGTCTGAGCCTGGCATTAAGATGCTCCTTATTTAATTTATCATTTGTGTGTCCCCGGTTTGTCGTGTTTGAGTGAGTGACTGTGATCAGGTGTTGCAAATTGCGAGTCCCCTGAGTCGTCATTGTTGCGCATGTTTTATTCACATGCGGTGAGCTGAGCTGACCCAGTCCATGTGCTGGCCCATATTGCCTGCCGTTCTTGGTGCAGCTAGGACTCCCCTACCGTGTGGTGGTGATAGTCTCCGGTGCACTGAATAATGCCGCTGCGAAGAAGTACGACCTGGAAGCCTGGTTCCCAGCTTCGAAGACCTATCGGGAGCTTGTGTCCTGCTCAAACTGTACAGATTATCAGTCACGTCGACTTGAAATCAGATATGGCACGAAGAAGGTGAGGCATTGGGCCGCGCTCCGCTACTCACCAAATGTGCAAAATAAGAATGAATCTCCCGCGAGAAGTCTTGAAATGCACACCGCCATATTTTGGAATCTCCCACTAGAAGTCTTGAAATGCACACCGCCATATTTTGGTATCTATTGTGCATGTGGGGCGAGTAGTGGAGCAAAGCGAAGCCAATTGGTCGCATTATGGCTGGTGGCATATTTTGCCAGAAATCTCTTTGGATGGAGCGTGCATGGCACGTAATGCTTGTGTTCGATCTCTGGCTTTGAAGGGCAGTGGATCTCTTGTCTCTCTTTTTCTCTGGATTACCTTCTCCCTCTCCCCCCTTCTTCTGCCTCTCTCTATCCTCTCTCTCCACGCCTCGCTGTCACTTCTCTCCTCCTGTCCTCTCACACTCTCCCTGTCCCTCCCTCTCATTCTCTCTTTCCCCCACCTGAACTCTCTCTCCCAATTTCCGTGTCACTCCTCTCCTCCTGTCCTCCCGGACTCTCCCTGTCCCTCCCTCTCGTTCTCCCTTTTCCCCACCTAAAGTTCCTCTTCTCCCTTTTGCCCTCCGTTGCTCCCTCTCTTTCCTGGCAGATGGATGCGTTTCATAAGAGAGCGTTTTTTTATGATGAGTGTTGTAGAGTTTCTGTCAAAGAGAACACTCCACTGCTGAGGGAACAAGCGAAGCGGGTAGCAGAACTGTGCAAAGTAGGAGGGTGAGCACGGGTGAGTCAGCGGCGGAGCGGGGCATGTAGCGGCGGGGCGGGGTATGTTTTGTGTGCATGCTCTTTCGGATCCTTCTAATTCTCATGCTGTGCTTCTTGTTTGCTTGTGATTCAGAGCAATGAGCAGACAAAACAATATGTGCACTTGCTGAACAGCACGTTGACGGCAACAGAGCGAACACTCTGCTGCATCTTGGAGACGTATCAGACTTCCGAAGGTGTGAACATTCCTGAGTGCCTTCAGCCGTACATGGGTGGAATTACTTTCCTGCCATTTGTAAGACCACCACCCAAGAAATCCAGCAAGCCAAAACCGTCCACGACACCACAGGTAAGTCCGATTGTGCCGGCCTTCTTCTCGTCGTTCGACTTTATGGTCCCTCCCCCCCCCCCCCCCCCCCCAACTCGTCTGCTGGCATGCGGATGGTATATAGATACTCTGGTTCCTGACTGTCTGGATTTGTCCGGGGTATAGGTACCGGGTAAGCATGCTTCAACACAGGTGTTCAGGTGGGGGACAGGAAAAATATCATCCAGAATTTCACAGACTAATCAGGAAAGCATGGACTCGCACAACATTGCCGGGCCAAACATCCCTTCATATGCAAAAATGCCAAATGTATCAATTGAACTCTGCTCCCAAAGTAATCGGTGCTGGTTAGGGGTCCTTCCGTCCCTTCAGGTGGGACCGAAGGAAGGGTTGTGTGGGTCGTATCTTGTACTCGTGTACTGAAGTTTCAACTTGCCTATCAAATGAAACCCGAGTGATGCTCCCGGGAATGGACAATGAGTCAGGACCCTAAGGACCTGTTTAAATCACCAGTTCACACAAACGGGGGTAGGTGCGCTTACCGGTATATACCCAGTCGGAGCATTTCGATTCAGGCCTGGGGGAGGAGCAAAAGTGGCAGGCCACTTTGAAAAGGGCGCTGTAGCAGGTGCACGAGGCTCGGGAGGTAGTGCTTCGTCAACTTAGGCTTGTTCGAATTGGTGGCTAAAAGCGTAAAACCAGCACTACCTTTCAGGCTGGGTGCATTCCTCGGAGGCCGGTGGAGGGTGGGCCCTACCAGACCGGGGGCTTTTGGATGACGGCACCGCCAGCCAAATGAAAAAAATGCCGCGCTGGCGATTCGGCCCCTAGTTGGCATGCACGTCGACTCCACCTTGGCAAAAAGAGGCTTGGAGGTCGTGGTGGTTTAAGAAAAAAAGAAAACTGTGGTCCTGAAGTACGCGAACACTTTTCAGTAAAGTACCATTGAGGCCCCAGTTGATGCCAAGAGAAAAAGTAGCATGCTGCTGCTTGCTATCGCTGGAAAACACCTATGCGGTGCCAGTGGGTCGGGCTTCCTTAGAAAAAGCTGCAGCGGCCAGCTTCGTTTGCGGGGTTCCAGAAAGCGGGCAAGATGTTTGTTAGGGTCTCTTTATTCTTATGTTCATCACCTCACCCCCGAATAGGAAGTGGTCATCATGCCAGGATTTGGGGCAACTTTCGGTCCAGACACCGGGACAGCGTACTATTCGTGGGAAGACAGTAATCGAGCAAGCGTTGTGCTATAAGGGTCTCCGAAGTGCTTCTCCACTCTCTGGCTATGGCAGAAGATGTGCTTGCCGAGGAGAGAGAGACTTCCGAGGGCAAAGGATAATGCCAGTGGAACTGGTACTGGTACTGGTACTGGTACTGGTGCTGGTACTGGAACTGGAACTGGTGGAACTGGAACTGGAACTGGTGGAACTGGAAGTGGAACTGGTGGAACTGGAATTGGTGGAACTGAACTGGTGGAACTGGAACTGAAACTGGAACTGAAACTGGAACTGGTGGAACTGGAATTGGTGGAACTGGAACTGGTGGAACTGGAACTGGAACTGGAACTGGTACTTTCGGACCCGTTCTGAAGTGGAAATGACAAGTGTTACCTAATGAAGGCGTTGTGGTAGGAAGGGAGGGTTGTTGATTTTATAGAAGCACTTACTCCTTGGTCGGTGATTTCTCTTGACGTTGGTGGGAGGGGAGGGATTGCCGTGCCGTGTTATGTTTTGGGTGGTTGCTGGCTGTGATCATTTTGATATTTTTTTCTTATCCTGCATGTGTTCAGAATAGAAGGCCTGGTCATCGTTGCCGTATCTAAACTAAATTGCACCAAACACGTCTATAATGACCGGGTCTTCTATTAGTGTAAAGACGGTAGTAGTTGAAGATGATGTGATATTCTCTCTGTGTACGCTGTACAGTATGGCAATCTTGCCAACGTCTTCACCCGAATAGCACGCCTGGTCATTATCACTGCATTGTGGACTGAAAGTTGCCCCAAATGCAGCAATAATGACGGGGCGTTCTATTCGGGTGAAGACGGAAGTGTACAGATGAGTCTTGAGAGAGCTTGTCATGGAAGTATTTGCGGGGTGCGATGTGGAAAGGGAGGTGGTGTGCAGACACAGGACTAGCAGTTGACGTTGACGAGCAAGTGATCGACTTGTTTTATGTGAAACTTTTTCGGTCGCAGGATGTCACAGCGAAGGAAGTGGCAGATGGTGTGAAGGGGAGTGTGAGCGTTGCTGGCGGTGCCGTTGTGAATGGAGCGTCTTCGTGACGTCGTGAAATTGTTAGAAATTGGAGGAACAGTCGATAGTTGTCTTGCGGACAAGGTACGTGTGGCATCTGGGGCTTTTTCCTTTCACACTGTGAAGTCTCAGACTCTGCAAAAATGCAGGCCTACTATTCCTTAGTATAGGAGAAGACTTGCGTGAGTATAAAAGGATACGTATCTGCAAGACACTGTATACAAAGCCCTTGGGATCGGGGTAGAGACTTATCACCCCCCACTCCCCAAAGACCTATGAATCATTCAAATCCAATTTGCAAAAGACATGGGACCGATGTCGATGAGTGTGAGGAGGACGATGACAAGCATGTACGGATGCCGATGAGTGTGAGGAGGAAGGACAGTGACAAGCATTTGTGTCATAGCGAATGTGAGCAGTCCCTTAGAGAAGAGGATCGAAGGCAAGGCGTAAAACTGCTTCTGAATGAAGAACCCGACCCGGAGAGGGTTTTGCCGCTTTGTGGGCCGACTCAGAGAGGGCTCTTTCAATTCTTTCGGACCATTGGAGGTTCTGGTCGGTGCTTTCTTGTTGGTAATGCCTTCTGCGTTGCAGTGCACTTATTTTTTGTGGTCCCTGTAATGTGATTGTTAAGCGTGTTGCCTTGTGTCCGCCATCAATGTATTATGCCCGAATGTTTGGGTCTGTGGGTCTGTGTCTGGTATGTGATTTTGCAGAGCAGGCTGGAGTTGTCTCCGGAGTGGGCACTTGGCACTTCCCTCTACCTTTTTTATAATATATATATATATGAGTTCAGCCTCCGGATGAGTCGGTGAAACTCCGATGAAACAGTTTGCCACAGCCCCTCGTTTGTTGTCCTCTTCTCCCTCTCTGCCTACTACGGTTTACCGTTGGCAGCTCTGTTTGACTATATATATGTATGTATAATAGTACATATATACATAGATATATCTGTGCAAGTGTGCCGCTTCTGCGGCAGACGGGTGTTTGGGCAGTTCCTGCTCAACCACCACACAAACGTGGGGAACATTGCATGCTCTATTATATAGCCCGTTTATAGTTCTTTTGTTTTATGGATGGTTTGTGATGATGGCTTGTCGATGGGGAGAGAGAGAGAGAAAGTTTGGTGTTCTTTACAACACACACAAGCTGCGTCGATTTTGGGTCTACTCATGTGGGTGGAACAGGGCCTTGTTGTGGTGAAAACTCTAAAACACACTCAATTTTGAAATTTAAAACACACACGCATCGATTGAAATTTGATCCGGCTTCAGCTTTAATAGGCTTTGTTTGTCAAAAAGAGAGTTTATGTTCACACACACCCACACACATTTCGTCACTTTTAGTGTTTGCTTAACTTAATTGCCTGCAATAGAGTTGAATCTGCTTGGATTTTGGATCTACTCGTATCTGGGTGAAACAAGGCCTGTTGTGGTGGCAAACTGTTCAAGACACAGAGTGGGGTTTTAATACTTTTTATCAGCTTTTATCATTTTATGGGGGTGACAGATTCGTTTCGTAGACTTACTGCCATTCTTTTCAGGGGCTTGGACAGACGGTCCGGTAGGCCTAGGATTGCAGGCTTGGTGTGAGTAAAGTCGACCCCTTTTCTCAGGGGTATCTTTTGAACTGGGGCTGACAAGGTGAGTCCTTATCTAACAACAGTCAAGTGCAACCCGGACAGATTATCCGGGTTGGATCTCCTTATCGGGGTTGGATCTCCTTATGATTTCTGGCACTGCTGTGTTTTGTTAGGTTCCAAGCATTAGCCTCTCAGAGAAGGAGATCGGGGTTGGATCTCCTTATCGGGGTTCCAAGCATTAGCCTCTCGGATAAGGTAGACACATCCATGTGCATGTGTATTTGGGAGGAATGGTTCGTGCTTGACAGGGGGTGGTGGCATTATTAGGAGGGTTAGAACTACTTTCTTCCCCCGAATACAAAGTGCGGTCATTATAGCTGTATTTTGGGTGTCTTTCAGACTAAATACAGCTATAATGACGGTAGATTGTATCCGGGGGAAGAAGGTAGCCTATGATGTCAGTTAGAATTTCTGCTTGAAAGGGGCTTTAAATCACTGTTGTAATAATGCAATTATGGGTTGTTATTCCTGTTGACGTCTCCGTTTTTAGAGTAATGTCAAGGGTACTAGAGGGAATTGACAAAGTTTTAGTCTAGGCCTGGCTCCGGCGGGGATTGGGGGAGTTGTTTGTGTGCTGCAATAATTAAGATTAAAAAAAATTGGCCAATGATTTTTCTTTTTTCTCGGACTTACTCGCTGGTGTGTAGCTATTTGCTCATGTACAGCCCTTCTTCTGTATCACACTGGTGTTTATTGCAGGGAAATTAGCCAGCAAGGAGGGGGAGGCGAGTGTCAGGGCAATTGATTATGATGGCGCTAAGGGCTCATGGAGGGCGTAGAGGGTGGGCGCCGGGCGGGTTACGTTGTGGCACTCTCAGTGGAGTTGAGCCGACAAAATTTTGACAGCTTTACTCGTTTGATATCTGATTCGATTCGATTCGATTCGATTTGATTCGATCCGATCCGATGTATTTCTGAATTTTTTTTTTTTTTCCCTCCCTGGATGTGGTGTTTGGTAAGATGATTTTTAAAACAATTCAGTGAACTGTTTTGCGGAAATTGTGTTCTCCATATCGTCTGCTCTCGTGTTGTTTTTTTCAGCTGTAAGGGCATATTCGTGCAAGGACTTGTCCCGTGTTGACTAGATTCATAGTGCGAAGACCGCTGACGCACTCCCCCGCCTGTTCCCCCCCCCTCTCCCCCCCCCTCCCCATCCAAGGGTTCCCCTTTCCCTCCTCCTCCTCCTTGTCACTTTGTGAGAAGACGCAGCCCAGGAGGTTGTCGGAATATAGAGGAGTGTCGCTGCGAGCTAGACTGGAGGAGGAGGGGTATTTACTATTTTATTCCTTATTTTGATTTGGTCTACTCAACATGCTTTTATGGAATTGTTGGAACGAAAGTGCCTGCCGCGTCTGCATGGGCAAACGGTTCTTTGTTGTGCAGATGCTGCTCTTCACCCTTTGCAAGCCCTTCTTGGACTGTTTCCAACTTCCGCGTTCGATGAATGAGATTATTGCACAATAGTTTGGAAGTGCTGAAAAGCTTAAACCACCGAAAAAAAATAGAGTACAAACGTTTCTGGTTGGATGAATGTGGGCGCTCCTGTAGTGGCCCGTACGTTTCCTAAAATCACGTAGCGTTAACGGGCACGACTTTAGGAAGTACTGGTGGTTTAATGGGAGTCGACAGGTGTATGGTAGACCCGTCGGGCATATCCCCAAATGGGAAGTTCTGAAAGTGCTTTTAGTTCGATCGACATATGCTCAACCCTTGCTTTCTGTTGGGGCAGGCATATGGCTGTGGGATTGAGTGCATTTTGGCGGTGCGAAGCGCTCATTGCACCCGCGCAATTCAACACCACCCAACCCAACCCAACCCAACCCAACCCGACCCAACCCAACCCAACCCAACCCAACCCAAATCAAATCCAATGTATCCCAACCCAACGTGAACGGTTAATAAAAACAGACCTGTGCAATTGAACCCAACCCAACCCATATCCAACGCATCCGAACCCATCATCGAACACACAAAATTGACCAGCATAATTCAACACCGCCCAACCCAAGCCAACACCACCCAACCCAAGCCAATGGACAGCCCAATGCAACCCGACGCCGGACACATTGAACTGGGCCACCACAATTTAACACCACCCAACCCAACTTAACCAAACCCAACTTAACCCAACCCAACTTAGCCCAACCCAACCCAACCCAACCCAACGGCGGACACATGAAACTGACCAGTGCAATCCAACACCACGCAACCCAACTCAACCGAATCAAATGTAACCAACCCACTGTCGGATGCAGGATCTGTGAGGCAGCGACAGACTTCTCCGAGATAGATCTTTGAGTCTGGCTGCCACTAAATAGAGTTGGGCCTTGGAGATGAAAAGAGAAGAGAACACTGCGAACGTAGATGATTAAGTATGGATGTTATCAGAATTTGGTGATGCCTTTTGGTCTTGTACAAATGTCTCGGCAATCTGTCAAAGCCCAACGAATCAATTGCTCAGAGAATTATGAGACAGATATGTCGTTGTTTAGTATTCCGTAAAGAAATACTAAAAATAGACTTAGAGGAGCAGGCTACCAACCCGGGTCTCGCCGGCCAGCTTCGGCTTGCCTGGGTGGGCTCTCCAGGCAAGGTCCCACGGAGAGGGGGGGGGGGGGGGGGGGGGCATCAAGTTGGGCGACACTCATACAGGATGAAAAAGACAAACCACCTTTGCCCAAGGAGCACTCCAAAATTGTTCACCAAGTTAAAATTTCCGTTGAAGTTGGAACAATACAGAGAAGATTAGAATGGCCCATGCGCAAGGATGAGAGCATACTCGCACTAGTATTTTCCGAAATGTGTCTGACCTCAATAAATTGCAGACCTGGATGAATCTGACCGCAGTCACGTCCGGAGCTTAGTAGGAAAACTCCCTAGTGTGAGTATGCTCTGATCGAGACCATTGGCCCGAGAGAACGAAAAAAAAAAAATCTCCATTATCATCGCGGAACTACTGTAAGGAACGCCGGGCCAGGTTCCCGGCTGTCTTTTGTTGTAAAACAAAACAAAACAAAACAAACAAACAAACAAAAAAAAAAACGACCGCTGTCCTTCCGGACCATGCGCAAAGATGACATGCATAAATCAAGAAATGGTCCGAAACTGAAAAAGAAACGAAAAACAGAAAAAAAAAACTGGAAGATGAGGGATTTTTTCTCTTTGTCCTCAACCCCTTTAATGTCTCCTGTTTCGACTCTTGCCTGGACATCCACCTTGGATTTCTTCAGCGCTTCTTCTACCTCCTTACATCTCTTTTCCCATTTCTCACTCTCTTGTTTCCTCTCACTCACACTTTTCAGACTCAATTATCTTACCCTGCTCGCTGATTTTTACCTCCAACTTACTAGCTTCCTTCTCCAACCTCTCTCTCTCCATTTTCTCCGTCTCCACCTCCTTGCTTTTGTTGTTAAGAGCAGTGCTTAGCGCCTCTATCTTCAATTCCAACTTCCCTTGTGCAACTTTTGCCTTCGCTACCTCAGCGGCGCAGTTTTCGGCATTGGGGAAGGCCCGATAGTGCGACGGAGGAGGGAGCCCGTGGGCCCACAGAAATGGGGCAAACGGACTGCAAGATGTCCTGGTGGTGTGCTATGTGGAAACGGGCCGAAGCTGAAGGCAATGAGGGGAAAAAGAGAAAAGAAAAGGAACGCGGACATGCGAAAAAAAGAAACAGTGCTGTTTTTCTTTCTTTTCTCTTTTTTTCTGGAAGAAAACTCGTTTCTGACGAGTCCCCGCCAACCATTTGGATTTCAGGACTTCACCGTAACGTTGGCACTTTCTAGAATGTGTCGATGATTCTGAGGGCAATAACAGTCAGAGCTTGGTATCCCTTTTCTTCTTTGTTTTTTTCATAGTTCCCAATTTAAAGAGAATTCCCGCTACGATAACAGATCCAGCGGTGGGTGTTTCTACATGAGCGTCAGGTAACCAAATATGAACTGGTACCATAGGTACTTCCTTCTCTTCTTCTTTTCTTGGAAGAAGTATCTCCGGAGCATGGTACCCCTAGCAACGGGATAGGATAGAAACGAGTTTGTGGGGCAGTTGAGTGTGACCCAAATCCTGCCGTCCAGTACTCGCGAGTGATCCCACGGTCAGTATTTTACATGTATTTCCCAAAAAAGAGAGGAGATCTTTGTTCCCCTCCTCCTCTCCTTAACACTGGGCATGCCGGTGCAAAGAAAGCTTCCCGCCAGAATCTTTTCAATCGGTTGGGGGTGTGGCCAACCCCAAAAGAGGGTGGGGTCGGCAATAGGCCCACTTCATAGAAGATGTTCACTGTTTTACTTGGTGTTGTCCAATTATCTCATTGGGTGGAGCCCTCCTTCAATCACGGAGTATATATATGGAGGTGGGTGTCATAATCACTGCTGACAGAAGTCCACTTGATTCCAGAGAAAAACAAATGGCAGTACCTTTGCTCACTGTTGTGGGGACCACCACCATCATCAGATCATTTGTGATGTCATGGCTGGGAAGCACTCTGCTGTGATTTCCGGTGGCAGGCTCTGTTTCTTTTGTTTTTTTTGCCTGTCTCCTGTTTTTTCAACCCAGAAATTCATTTCGTAATGAACCTGTCAGGCCGCTGCCACTCAGTGTCACACTGGATAGGCCACACTCCTATCCGACTGCTATTGCGACCATGTTCCAGCTGTTTGTGCTTCGACTCCCGGTGAGAGACAGGGAGCGTTCAATCCCTGCCAGCCCTCTCAATTTCAGGGCTCCGGTGGGACGTAGCACTTTCCAGAACGTATCTGCCTGCACTTGGCTGCAGCAGTGGATGAATCCGAGGGCAATCATGTATCTCTTATCCCCTTTGTTTTTTTTTTGTTGTTTTTTTTGTTGTTGTTGAAGCTCCTAGGCTGTTTGTGCGTTGCCTCCGGGTGAGAGACAGGGAGCGTCCAATACCTGCTAGCGAGCGCTTTCCAGAGTGGATCTGGCTGCACGTCTGCCCGGGCCATTTTCATGGACACAAGTGGAAACTAGAAAACAAAGGCCTCTTCATGTTCCGCCTGCTGGCCCTAGGTCCAGCATAAAGAGGGGGACCTGTGCCCAGCAACAAATGTCGCATATCGGTACCCACCCCCTGCAGGCTCGGCAAAAATCAGCGCGAAGGGCATATCCAGGCTCGGCTTCAATAGCTGGGCCTAGTACTGGTCGTTTAAGCCACCAGTACCCCAGGGGGTCTTAGGCGCCCTCTGGGGACGCTCTGATGCAAATGCATATGAACACGCGCGGCGGCACTGATTCAGCCACTGCGTTAACAGTGGAGGTGCTGGTGGTATAACTGTTCGAGATTGATATTACATTGGCGAGTCAGTTTGCCGATCGGCGATTTGCTTGTGGGAGACAAACGGCGATTTGCTTGTGGGAGACAAATCGGCATGATCATCAGAAGAAGGATAGGTATCAAGATTGTTTTGAGTTTGCGAGAAGACGAAGTAGCAACTTGGACTGCTTGGAGGAGGTAGAAGGAGGAAGGGGAGATAAGATATTGTTTTCAAAGAATATTTTGCGGAACTATACTCCTGTTATTCTTCTCTTCCTTTATTGCAGGCTCTTCATGAATTGTCGGTCATTGAGGATCGTGAGATGCGTGCATGTTTTTTTTCAACGTGATGAAAATGTGCTAGTACATGAAAAATGTGCTTTTTTTTTTTTGCTTTTTTTTTTTTAATTTTTTTAAGATGCACCGATAGGATTGATATTGTGATTAAGAAGCAACGATAGGATTGATGTTGTGATCCCCTTGATTTTGGTTCCTTACACTGGCAAGGCTTATATGTGTAGGTCGCCGGCCAAACTGCGAACCAGGGGCAGTACACAGAAGTGGTACCAATCATCTCAATCTTTCTGATGGGCATTCTTGGTTTCAACCTTCGGTACCCTGTTAACCATCTCTCAACATGCGGTCAATCAGGGGTGTTATTTTCGGTGAATTTTGCACGGAAACTGTCACATTGTGCTGAATTTTTCTTTTTTTTTTCTTTTTTTTCTTTCTGTGTGACATATATGTGCTTCAGGGAACGTCATGCATCCAGTTTTGACATGTTTGTATCAATAAAGAAAGAAGGGGAAATTTTTGAGATGCCCCTCAAATTTCCATTAATTTGCTGCGTGCCCCTCTGAACGCCAACTTACCCTGTCGTGCCCCTGGGGCCTCTGAAGTTTTCTGCAGGCCCCTGTCAGCATGGGGCAGAACTTTCCGCTATGCCCTTACGGGACTGTGGATGGCATTTTGTCGGTACCTCCTTGAAATGCCCTCACAAGGGGCATGCATCTTTCTGTGACGCCCTTGCAGCAGGCCACCAAAAATGCTGCAGCCGTCAGTCTCTTCATGTTCGCTGGTTGCTGCCGTGCGAAGGTGAGTGTGTGTGTGTGTGTGTGTGTGTGTGTGCGCTGGTTGCTGCCGTGTGAAGGTGTGTGTGTGTGTGTGTGTGTGTGTGTGTGTGTGTGTGAGAGAGAGAGAGAGAGAGGCCGCGCGGATCGATTTTGCATTTGTGCAAAACGAGAATGAATCTTGCACTCTCTCGGGGAAGATTCATTCTTATTTTGCAGCTGCGTCCACGCTGTGTGTGTGTGTGTGTGTGTGTGTGTGTGTGCAAGAGAGAGAGAGAGAGAGAGAGAGAGAGAGAGAGAGAGAGAGAGGGCAGGGCAGAAAGATCCTCTCCCAGGCCAGGGGAAAGGCCGAGAGTGTCAACAACAGCCACAGCGGCATGATGGAAAGACGCTCTGTACCGGTAGGGGCATATGGGAAATATTTCTGCTGGTTCTCAACGGCTATCCGGCAGGGGCATACTGGAAATTTGGCAGAGGTACCGGTAGGGGCATATGAAACATTTTTCAGGCCTAAACGACACCAGGGTAAGTTGGTCGTCAGAGGGGCATGCCGCAAATTAATCAAAATTTCAGGGGCATCTCAAAAAGTTTCCCAAGAAAGAAAAAGTTGGCATTTCATTGTTATCTCCGGTGAATTTTGCACCGAAATTGTCACATTGTGCTGATTTTTAGCTTTTTTTTCTTGTTTTTCTTTGTGTACGACATATATGTGCTTCAGGGCACGTCATGTGTTCCAGTTTTGACTCTGCGCTATGGACCCATATCGTTTGTTTTTTAAATTTTAAATGAATTTGGCAACCAAATTGCTGCCGAAAACGACGAATATTTGCCCCCCCGTTAACCTTCTCTCCCCAGCTTGCTCCATTCACTCTTTCGAGCCACATTTCTTCTGAGCGGCTCGCTCAAGCAGTAAGGCCTGGCCAGAGGCACAGCCCGGGCATGCGCCCCCATTTTTTTTCGTTGATGGTAGTTGCCTCCTGATATAGATGCGATGCGCACACTACTTTGGGAGCTTGGTGATAAAGTGAAATTCTTGTCTACACTTATCAGTCTTGGAAAAACCAATATTACAATGGAAGCACCTATCTCTGATATAATAAAAAACCTGAGTAGATCTGGATTTTGTGATCAAGCGGGTAAACCACATGCCAAATTGGACTGGCGTTGGCCGGGGTTTGAACCTGGGTCTTTCACGAGGTCTCGGCACTTGACGCCTGGGTTGGAGAGCAGTCCAAACGGTCCGACAGCAGAGGGAAGAAGAAGGGGGGTGTTTCTTGTCATGGATGTCATCTCTCCAATAGCAACTGAAACAAGTTTAGAGATGTATCTGTTAGCGACACTAACACTATGCTTTGGGTCTCGCCGTACCATTTTCCAAATGTGAAAAAAAAGACAAAAGCTATGGCTGGAGCAGCTCTCCAGGTTCTAGCTAGGGAAAGATGCATTCTCTCATTTTGGTCATCTTGTAGGTGGTCTGTGGGGAAGCCCTTTGTAAGCACTGCCAGCTTTTGCTGTTCCTTTCTGATACATCACCAAACAGAACATACAAACGATAACACATATGTTGACGGTGTTTCGTGTCATGGACTTGCCCATTTTTGTCGTCGGAATACGTCAGAGAGGTATGTCATGGGGTTTGAAAACCATGGTTTAGAAGCTCTCTCCCAAGCTCCCAAGTTGTTTCCTTTATATATATATATTATATACCCATATATACATCGTCAAACAAAGCTGCCTGGTAAACTGTAGGCATGGAGGGAAAAGAAGACAACAAACGAGGGCCTGTGACGGCTTCGTCGGAGTTCCACCGGCCCTCTGCCGTCTCTTTCTTTGCTTCCTAACTTCACCAAATGTAGAGTTTCACCCACCCGTCCCACCTGTTCAGGTGGGGTTTCGATCTTTTCTTTCATCATAACAACATTCACTCTTAAAGGTTAAAACTCGTTTCTCATTCATGGTGTGTCCATTACCTACACCACCTCTCGCATCCATGCCGGAAAGTCGTTAACCATGCATGGCACGCGGTTAACCTAACCTGTTGTTAACCATGCATGGCACGTGGTTAACCTAACCTATTGGTAACCATGCATGGCATGGCACGTGGTTAACCTAACCTATTGGTAACCATGCATGGCATGGCACGTGGTTAACCTAACCTATTGTTAACCATGCATGGCATGGCACATGGTTAACCTGGCCTATTGTTAACCATGCATCCATGCATGGTGCGTGGTTAACCAAACCTGTTGTTATGGCACGTGGTTAACCTAGCCTATTGTTAACCATGCATCCATGCATGGCACGTGGTTAACCTAAACTGTTGTTAACCATGCATGGCACGTGGTTAACCTAAACTGTTGTTAACCATGCATGGCACATGGTTAACCTAACCTATTGTTATCCATGCATGGCACGTGGTTAACCTAACCTATTGTTAACCATGCATCCATGCATGGCACGTGGTTAACCTAACCTATTGTTAACCATGCATCTATGCACGGCATGTGGTTAACCTAACCTATTGTTTACCCTGCGTGGCACGTGGTTAACCTAACCTATTGTTAACCATGCGTTGCACGTGGTTAACCTAACCTATTGTTCACCCTGCATGGCACGTGGTTAACCTAACCTATTGTTTACCCTGCATGGCACGTGGTTAACCTAACCTATTGTTAACCATATGCATGGCAATTGGTTAACCTAACCTATTGTTAACCATATGCATGGCACGTGGTGAACCTCTTAAGCATGGATGAGTCGTAGATGACAATCGATGATCGAGAGTCGGAAGTAGTCGGAAAAATAGTCGGAACAGAACGTAAATTGCTACCCCCAAACTTTCCTTCACGTGATTCGCAGTGGACTGGTGGTTGTAGAATACAACTGAACGTAGTGACCTATGAAAAAGAAGCCGGAAAAAAAAAAACACCACGAATGGGAAAAAAAAAAAACAAAAACAAAAACACAGTTGACTCAACTTCACTGACAAATACCACCGCAATAAGTTCGCATTGGCTGTCGTGAATAAGCGTCTGATGTGAAACAACACTCCTGTCTATCCGATATGAAACACGCTGTGAAGTAGCTGCGAGCACAACCACTGATGGATGAATTACCAGCGAAACTACTTGCTCGCTAACGTCTTCTAAGTCCGCCAGTAATTGTTCAGCGATTCAGCGAACCACTCGCTGGAAATTTTGTTGAAATTTTGAGATCACGCCAAGTTCGCCAACCAAATTCGCACATACTAGAGATGATTAATTCAAATTTTCAGTTGTTTTCCGAGTTTTCCTAGCGTTGCTGTGTGTTACACGTGAACGCTCCTCCATAGTAACTTCACGTGAAGGCTCAGTCGAAAGTCCACGTGACGGTTCAATAGTAAGTTCACATTGGCACATTTTCAGGCATTGAGCCTCAACGCGGCTGAGATGATGGCCTTGGTCTCTTCCTGATGAATCTCTGAGCTTCCTGTTGCTGTTGACGCGGAAGGAGATCTCCCGATGTACCGAACTGGAAGACCCGCCCGGGCGACACTCGGGGACCCAGGCCTAGAATAGCTCACGTGCTTCTTATGAAAGAGCTCTCTTTGAGCTGTCGCAACCCGTGGTTGCACATACGCCCATGCCCCCATGTTCTTCGGCTCCTCCTGCAATAACCATCATAAAGTAATAAAATGGCTGTTAATAAAAAATAACAATTAAAAAAAAAGACAGTTAAAAACTTAAACGCCGTAATAACGGCACAAAAAAAAAAAAACTGTAAAACTTCCCAAAAGTTACTCTGTTGCGAGGCACGACTCGTCATCATCATTGCCGAACACAGTTAACGAAAAACAAAAGATTGAGGCCTTGTAAATTTGCGCTAAATGTACTAATGTCTTTACCCAAGAATAATGCCCCTCTGTTTTTAACTTTTTATTCAACCTACCGGTCCTACCGTAAAAGAGTCAGATTTCTGTTTTTTTTTTTAACTTTTTTTTTCTTTTTTTTTTTTTTTTTTCAAATGTAACACCTGGTAAAAAGAGCACCTGGCCATTCTATTCGAATGTGGCCTGGGTATAATTCCTGTCTCTTATACACATCTAGATGTGTATAAGAGACAGAATCAGTACCAAAGGAACGCAACTGGTCGCAAGCA